CGCAAATGTCTTGCATCTCACGTTACACCAAAAAATTTACTTATGAAAATCATTCGAGGGGACATTTCCCATGACTGCTATGGCGTCAAACAGAGAAAACCTTACATTGACACCTCAACACTCTCACTGGTCACAAACAGCACTACAGGCAAATTATTGGAATGGATTCGCAGCAGCACAGTCCGCGGTCGCGGTACTAGAGCAGAGCCTGTCTAGTACAACGAGGTAGTGGTTGTCCATTCGCGAATATTATTTCGCTTGACGCTTTTCTAAACCTGCATCTTTAAAAAATTTTTTAATTTCATATGTACATATCTTAACGGACGTCTAGTCAAACTTCTTCAGTTCCGTAAGTTTTTTTTCCCTCCTCCCTTCAATGTCTATTATTGAATTGATGGACTAAACATACTTTTGTAAACAATAGATTACATTGCAATGATTGCAATATGAGTTTTCGTACCGACTCAGAGTACTCAAAGCATTGTCAATCACATAAGAAATACACCTTTGATGGGACAGACGAAAGGTAGATCACACTGGTAATTTTCATAAAACTGGGATTAATTTACTCATAATCAGTCGACTTGGCAGCTCATTAAGGCCACAGATGAAGTTTGATCTCGATACTCCGGAAGCAATAGAACGATGGATTGCCGAACGACGGAAAAATTATCCTACGGCGGGAAACATTGCGAGAAAGGTTTATTATTGATTGGCGCATAATCGCTCTCCATTTCATATCACTATAACTTGGGTTTGAGCTGACCAATGAGATTTATCATGTTTGCCGCAGAAAGCCGAGATGGGAGAACGCATAGCAAGAGGGGAGCTAATTGAGAATCGTAGGAGTTTGCCAAACAAACGAAGTCAAAGTAATCAAACGAACGTATACGAGGGATATTATCCGTCAAAACGCGCCAGAGTGGACTTCACCAATTCAAAATACACAGATCCGAAAGGTCGGCAACCAGAGTATGATGCTGCGAAGAAGGAAAATGGTCAGAACTTGCGTGAAAATGTGAACAACAACTATATGAATGGTTATGGAAGGGGGAAATTTTGTAAAAGAACGGATACTAATTTTGGAAGACAGACTTATGGGAGACCTTGGTTTCACGGAGATAACAGAGTATGGATTGGTCTATGTGTTTAGCTTTAAATCGGTCTAGTTAGTGTTATAAACTGTTGATTTGTAGAATTACGCAAGCTCGAAGACTTATGGACCCACATACAATCGGCCAAACTTACTAAATCAGGTGACAGTTTAATACAACTCTCTGATCTCATTACGGTTTACCATGAGACTCACGTCAATATTTCATGATCTACTAGTTGCTTGCAAGGGATATTCATCGCGAGAAAAGCGCTATACTGCAATGCTTCCGTCACATCATCACACAGAACTTCTTTGGTGTAATACCGGACAATGTTATTGAAGAGAACAAAAGGCGAGGTCCATCCATTGTCATGTATGGAAATAGTTCTTCGGATACCGAATCCGGGACTGACAATGAGATTGAGGGCGGGTGAAATGCAAGCAAAATAGTTTCCGATAAAATTGTTTTTTAATTTGTTGAACAATTTCATCTCTTGCAGTCGCATATTAGATGCATTAATGTAGGTACGAATTGCGTTATTTATTCAAAGTTTTTTTCATTCGTAGTAATTTTTTTTAGATAGACGTGACTGAATAAAACTATCCAAAATATCATTGTGAGAACATGATTTTTACTCGATTTTTTCCCCCTGCTGTTCCTATTTCACATATAATTTCATTATCGTAATGTTATCCCCAATTCGTCTACAAGTTGTTGACGGACTCTATCCTGAATTGCATTAATTTCATCGTTCGAAACGGTCCTAAAAAAAAGAAGAAAAAAGAATCAGAGTATGAATAGACAGCTCCTGTTAATTGTTTCAAACTTCAGATCGTAAATCAAAAAATTAATTCGTATGTAAAAAAGGGCATACCGGTCCATTGATCTGTAATGGATTCTGTAACAGAGACTGCGTTTCTTAGTTTCTGGATGCAAATAGTCGTCAATCTATGAAAATTTTTATTTTGAACCAAAGTGGTTTAGTATCTTGCATATTAGCTTATTTACAAACTATGTCAGACGCACCAATTTAGTGTCCTCCACAATGTCTCCGGCAACATTTCTGACAATTTCGCAAAAATTATTCTCATGGAAGTTATTATCGTTCAACCAAAAGCTGATATCTTTGATACAAGAAGGATACTTGGAATATGGCCTAAATTTGCTGATAACACCAGGTCGAAACTGTTTGATAAAAAGGGGATTCTCGGACCAAAAAAGCCGAATATCAGGAATGTTAAAAAGAACCATTGCTATCCGTTCCAGGCCTAGACCAAACGCCCAGCCTATTTTATCTGAATGACCTGCAAAAAGTTTACCAAGTATATTTGGGCGTGAAAAAAGGAAGAAGTAAATTTCGACTATTTTGTTAGTTTAGAACAAAGCACTGGCTTTCAATTCACCAAGTAATCAATATCATACATGCCAGAATTGTCAAGTATGTGATGTTTAATCACTCCACAACCACAAATCTCAAGCCATTTTCCATGATAGAGAATTTCCATTTCCCAACTTGGACTTGTAAAAGGGAAATACGAATCTAGCCATCTTACTTCCAAGTCTTGCCCAATAAACAGTTTCTTAACCATTCCATTCAAAGAGTGCTTTAAATGTTTGATTACGGCATTCGTAGCATCAGCATCGTGACATGGCTGTAGTGGGTTATTCTTGGTGATTACTGTATCGTCAATGGTTTTAATTTGGGTGGGCGCAAGTGTTTCTGATGACAACTCTTCCTCTATGACGGAAACAGCAGAAGACACGGGAAAGATCCGAGCACCTTCCATCTGGTGAAATACCGGATAATGACGAGAGTCTATTTCATCTCGTCGATATACATCTGCGGTTAGGAGAAATTTATCCACGTTTGATCGGAAAACTTGTAGTTGATGAGCAGATGTGTGAGTTCTCAGCATTATATCCTTATTTATGTAATAGCTATCAGACAAACTCCGTCCAACATGGTCTTTTGGAAAGCCCAGTTCGTCGAAATTTTGCACTGTTGATACAACAGGATCATATGATGGCAAAAACGTAAATCCCACAAAATGCTGTTCGATTAATGTGCGAAGCGTATGGAGAGGATGACCAACTTGGAGATGTAACTTGCGCGTTGTTTTCGATAAAACGTTCTCCGTAACGTTTGTATATTCGTCAATTGGGTATGTATTATTATTAATGTTCACTGTTATGGGAGTTATACAAGGAGCTAGAGAAAAGGTAGGGGGCTTGAGGAACGGCGTGAGTGACCAGGGAGAAACGTTTGATAGAGGAGTTGATTAAGAAAACAAGGAAAGTACCTTGGGTAGTTTGCGCGTTGAAAGTGATTGGATGATTGGATGCGGTTAAGTAGCGAACGCTGAAAGTACGGGAGCGAAATCTCGAACTAGTTAGATGCGTATCGAACCCTCTGAGTATGTTAATGCGAGTAGAACTGTTTCCAAAAAGCATATCGATCGTTCGTTCTAGAATTGATGATAACGACGTATGAACTGGACATTCAATATTTAATATTTCATTACACAAAACGGAAATATTTCTAAATCACGTGAAATTGATAATAATATCGTGGTACAATCATTTCGAAGAGGATATGTTTGGCTATCATCTATAAACCGCATTAATGTCACATGACTTTCAAACTTATAAGTTAAAAACAAATAAACCTATTGCAAATCTAAACCGATAGAATGATAAATTAAAACAAGCTGAACATTTTT